CCAGCTACCAAATTGTGGGCGGACTAGGCAGCGGCAGCTTTGGCACCGTTTTCCGGTGCATCCGAAAGCCTGTCATTACCGGGGAGAGGGCGGCTGTAGAACAACAAGTGGCCGTCAAGGTGATGGAGCTTGAAGATCGCCAGACGTTGAGGAGCATCGAGCGAGAGGTGGCCTTTCTGAGGGAGATCGAACGCGTTGAGGTAAGTCAGGCGACATAGAAGAAGCGACCTTAATGTCTGAAGGCAAAATGTCATCTTGTTTTTAAACCTTTTTACTACTACTTTTACTTACTTTCACCTCCGCCAGACCGGTCTGTTCATCAAGCTGCTGGACTCATTCAGTTTTAGCCCCATGTACCGGTGCCTAGTTTTTGAGCGAATGTTCTGCTCTCTGGACGACCTTATCAGTAGGAACCCTCCTAGCCTGCCTCAAATCGGAGTGATCTTCTACCAACTGCTGCAGGCGCTGAAAGTGCTTAAGGTAAGTTTGGGGGGGGGCAAATCTTTAAAACACCTGTGGTGGCAGAGACCTTTTACTGATGTCTTCGCACTCGATGAGTACTGCTGCTGGAAGACGTGAGATGATATGGTAGTACTTGGTCTGGGAACGGAACTGGGCCTCGGCTTGGATGAGCCAAAGGCGCGGGTTTTTGATGATAAACTCCGGCAGCTTGACTGAGGCGGCGTTGATGGTGAGCTGTTGCTGCTTGCTTGCTTGTGTCGTCGGCCATGTTTGCTGAAGATGAAGCTGCGGAGGATGAGTTGAAGATGCAGAGGAGAGAAGGAGAACTTGCTGGGGATGCGAAACTTGGACGGTTGATGGTTGTCCGGCTCACCAATGTGGTGGTAGAGACCTTTACTGATGAGGACGATCTAGATGGGCGAATACAGAAGTATGAGATGAGGGGAAACAAGTGAGATGGGGACTGACTCATGACCAGTGGCAGACTGGGAGCCGACTGGTGAAGTGTGTCTACATGAGGTCTGCTCATGTAGGGGAGAGAGAGAGACGGGTGAGATAGAGGGTGACACGTACAGGTCGGGGTGAGTAAGGGTGATCTGTGTGTACTGATTGACTATGATGTGTTGGTGCAGTGCAGCTGGCACTACACACCTTTTTTTTATATTTATACCACATTATTAAAATGCAATGTTTTTAATTTGCCCTTAATTCAGGAGAAGGTACCCGGCGGCTTCATTCACGGCGACATCAAGCCGCCCAACGTGATGGTCTGCGCCCCGCCGCACCCGGACGAGCCCTACGTGCGCATCAAGCTGATTGACTTTGGCCTTGCCCATCGCATCAGGGTCGGCGACGGCGGCAGACATTTGGAACACATTGTCCACTTCAACGACGCCAGGGTGGACCTGAACCAGACGGACCGTCGCGAAATGACGCCCGGCTACGCGTCGCCCGAGTGGCTGCTCGGCCATGCCGACCTCACCCTCTCCGACCTCTGGGCCGTGGCGGTGACGGTGCTCGAGCTGCTGATCGGCGGGCCGCTGTACCGGTGCACGCACGAAGATGACCTGGTGGCGTACTACCAGCTGGCGCCCATTTGGCGCCTCTTCGGCCACGCGGAACTGGAGGACTTTTACCAGCGTCTACCGGATGACCCCTTCAGACGCTTCTTCACGCAGGAAGCGCCGTCCCCGTTTTCGCCTAGAGCTAGGCCCGGCTGGCGATTGAAGACGCTCGAAGAGGTGTCTGCTGAATGGAGGGTAGGGGCCATCACCGCCACTCCAAGGCCAAGGCTGACATGGGAAGTCAAAGAGTTTACGCTGAAGAAAATTGAACTGAGGCGACCTAGAGATGAAAAACGCCAGTATCCGGACTTGCTCGGCCAACTTTTTGATTTGCTGCAANCAGGAAGCGCCGTCCCCGTTTTCGCCTAGAGCTAGGCCCGGCTGGCGATTGAAGACGCTCGAAGAGGTGTCTGCTGAATGGAGGGTAGGGGCCATCACCGCCACTCCAAGGCCAAGGCTGACATGGGAAGTCAAAGAGTTTACGCTGAAGAAAATTGAACTGAGGCGACCTAGAGATGAAAAACGCCAGTATCCGGACTTGCTCGGCCAACTTTTTGATTTGCTGCAAACGATCTTCGTTATTGATCCAGATGATCGCGCTACCATTAATGAGTCGCTAGATGATGTTGTATTTAAACATCAAGCTTTACGAGGAGTCATTTGATAATTTTTTTATTGTAAAAACACTTTTAACTATATAACCAAGGCGTTTTCTTTTGTCAAATTTGAATACTGTACGTTGAATTAGTTTTCATTTTTGTGTAGCCTAAATAAACAGTCAAAATTACTTCACTTGTATGAGGGGGGGGGGCATTTATTGATTTGAGTTTGGCTGTATTTATCTTTTGTTGTGTCTGCGTCTGCTGTTCTGTTTTTACCTAAAAAACATTTGTTTCTAAGTACTGATGGGTTTTGTACAGCTGATGATGTATTAGCAGCAGCAGCAGCAGCAGCATTTGACTGCGGCAAATGCTGTCAAAACGCAATAATTTGGCCGACATATCAAAAGTCTCGCCCAGCTTGTTGAACTTGCTAATGCCGATTTTTCAACTGAAAAAATGCTTTTGATGCACATTGAATCGGCAAACTTTTTTTACCATTGGCACCGAAAAAAGTAATTGTCTTTAGTAGTAATGTTTAGTCATACACTATTTTGTAGAAAAAGATAATTAGTTTTAAGTAGAAAAAGAGCGCCTAAAAAAAGTGGAAAATATTTTAAAAAATCATAAGTAAATGGAGGCTAAAATCAACAAGCAAAAAAAGATCACTTAAAATGCTGTTAAATTCGGTTTACCTTTCCAAGCGACTGAAAGCTGATCGGCCCGTAGCTGCCGTAGTTGACGGTAAACTGCCGGTCACTGTGAAACGCCTCAATGTACCGCAGCAGCTTCAGTCGGTGGGGCAGTGTCCACAGGCACCTCCATTGACCCCGTCTTCTATTATTATTTCCTAAACTTTGATCTTTCTCGCCAAGCACTACCACCTTCACCCCCACCCACTGTAGACCCATTCCCTTCGCCGTCAGACTGAGACACCGCCTGACCGGCTGGTGCAACCGAATGGCCAGCACCGCCGAGAAGAAGGTAATGGCGAAGGTGAAGCCGAGCTGGGCGGCTACGAACAGACAAACTATCACCTTCATTGATTTTTTGCAAAACCTGCCCAAAGAGGAGCATCATGATGAGGAGGGCGTTCAGGGGGAGGTTAATTAGCGTGAAGAGGAGCAGCGCCAGGCCGAAGACTCGGTTGACGTCACCGAGGACGGTCAGGTAGGCGGTAGTGGCGCTGGTCAACGTTCCGACCAGGCTTTGTGGCGTGAAGCTGGCGAAGCTGGTCAGCCGGTCGACGAAGCGCCTCATCTGGCGGACCTTGGCTGAGGCGGCCGCTGCGAGGACCACCCCGCAGGCGCCCATCAGAATTTGGGTATTCGCAAAGACGTCAATGCGAATGGTGTTGAGGATGAAGTGAAAGTGACCGGTGGCCAGTTCTAGAAGATAAGCAGTTTTTGTGGTGGATGGGAAAGAGGAGGAACTGGGAAGGTAGACCCAAAAGTGGCGAACGTAGACGGAGATGAACTGAAAGTCTATCCGGAAAAAAGGAGGTTTTTTGCGGTTAGTTTGATGATCATTTATTGAAAGGGTTTTTCTTGCTTGCTTACAAGTTAGAAAGGTAATTAAGCTGAGAAGGTTGGCTACAAAGAGGGCAATCAGCTGAATTCTTTGCAGTGTGACGCTGCACTCGTTGCGCAGCACAGCCCAGCTAAATTGGTCATTCTTTTTCTTCTTTTTTTCTTTTAAAAAGTTTGGTTTGAAGAATTTACCATTTTCTTTAGCATTACAGCTGCCGGAATTATTAAGCAAGAAAAATGATCCATCGTTTTCAAGTAGGATTTGCTTTAGCAGTCGGTAGCCGGCTCGGTTATTCTCAAAGTACATTAGCGAAGCGCCCTTGGCAGTAAAAAGAAGCAGCAAAGCGGCATATAAATTGACAAAGGAGGGAAAGCCGTTCAGGACGAGCCAGTTAAAGTGGAGAACTTGCTCTCTTCGATCTAGAACCTCATGACTGAACCAGAGAAAAAAGTAATGTACCACAATGAGGCACCAAGTAAATTGAAAGTAGCGAAGGTTCCAGACCGTATTTTGACTGTTAAATTGCACCAGCTCCACTGCCACGATGTAATCGCGGTAAAAGTTAAGCGTTTTGAGTAGTTTCCATTTAATAAGCAGTTGAAGCAATTTTGTTTTGTATTCAGTGAAAAACTTTGAAAAGAGGCCTATCATGTTTTCCATTTGTAAGTATTCTTTTAAAATGCTACTGTTAGTTGATTTTAAATTAAAAAAAAATAGTTTTGGGTTAAAATGAAACCAGTGTTAAAACGCGATAAAAGTATTAGCAATGACTTTTAACAAAAAAGCTTTTTTATCATTTTATTTTTAAGTTTTTAATCAAAACGTTTGTTTTACCAAGTTTTCAACATTTATTTGTTGTCGTTTTGCAATACATTTTTAAAATGTTTTAAACTTAGGCAAACATTACAAAACGGCACTTTATGCACGATTTGTAATTTTAGCAATAAAAATGAGTTGTTTAATAAATAAAAAGTTTTAAAAAAGTGCGGTGAAACTCAATTTTAGGTTAAAAAAATGACAATTTTTAATGAATTTTAAATGCTTGTTTTACCAGAATTTTTCAACTTTTTCTTTATACAAAAAATAGCAATATTTATATACAAAGCTTTCACTTAGTTAGTGCAGAAAAAATACTTTCATTACTAATGTGAACCATTTCTAATAAAAAATGTTTTTTGTTGCAAAAAATAATTTTCTAGCTAAACAAATAAAGATTACAAGTTTCAAGTGTTGTTAGCAAAATACAATCTAATCGAATTATTAAAAATCAAATTTTTGTAGTTTAACAAAAAATGTTTTAAGCAGTCCTCTTGTACACTTTGATGGCCATGTTTTTTGGTCATACTTCAGCAATGTCGATGTGTTTGAAATTGATGAACATTGCAGTGCCATTGGTAGTTCCTGTCCACAAGCCGTCACTCCAGCCAGTGACAGAAATGCTCACATTGTTTGAGTAGGCCCCATGAAGCTCTTTTATTTTGTAACTGCTAGTACCAGTGTGAACCATCTCCAGTCGAGGTGCATTTTCCTGCTGAACCACTCCAAAACTGCCTGCCCCACCGCCGACCACTCTGAAGAAAACGCCCTCATATTCACTGGAAATGTCAGTCCATGTCATGCTGGGCCACAGCTCACCGGGGGCTTTGTCCTTGGGCAGCTGAACGTAGGTGAAGCCAATGGGAATGTTTTCTTTTTTAAGTTTTTTTAATTCTGTTTCAGTTTGCGCAAGTTTACTAGTCAACGTCTTTTCTGTTTTCGCTAATTTATTTTCTGTATCAGCAAGTTTACTTGCCGTTTGTTGCAAACTGTGTTTCAACTCAACCACCGTTTCTGCCAGCAGTTTAAGTGACAGCGGTGGCATTTGCTGACAAACCACGGCATTGCTTCGTGCACACCGCTCATCGACCCACATCCCCTCCAGGCCCTCCTCTGAAAGCATCTGAACGCAGTGATCAGTCAGGTTCTTTGGGTAACCGGGAGCCCAGTTGGTGAAACCACCGGTCAGCTGTGTGTGATCTTCCCACTGGAACAGACTGCTTCCAATGTACCTGCCGCCCACCCACACATTGTTCACTGTCTTCTTTTTGGTGAAGATGTAATTGCTGAGAAAGTTTTGCTCCTCTGCGTAGTGGATCACCACCAGGGTGCTGTTGTTTGTCTGGCACAGCTTCTCCGCATCACTGTAAGACTGCAGCCCGGTAAATAGTTTGTAGCAGTGCTCGTCTTTGTACTGCTCCCAGTCGCCACAAGGAATGGCGTCATCAGCAGAAACAGAAAAGAAGTTGACTATAAAAATAACAAATAATTAAAAAATTTACTGAATTAAAATTGTGCTCAACTTACTAATTAAAGTTGTAACTAAAACTATTAAAGATTTCATTGTAAAGCGAAAATGATTTTTAATATTTGTTACACAGCAGCAACTTTGTAGTGCAAAGTAATAGTTGACTGCAGCAATGTAACTACTTTAAAGCGTTTGGGATCTTTATTTTAACATTATCAAACCAATTATAGATTACAAATTTCCTGCTAAAAACATAGTTTGCGTCAAGTGTTTTTGCCAAAGTCAAAATTATTTTAATTACAACGATTAGATTGTTGTGTTTAAAATATAAAAAATGTTTTAAGCAGTTCGTTTGTATACTTTGATAGCCATGTTTTTTGGTCGCACTTCAGCGGTGTCGGTGTGTTTGAAACTTGTAAAAATACTAGTACCACCATCGTCTCCAGTATGGAGGGCTTTACTCCATCCAGTAAGTGGAATAGTCATATTATCACCCAAAAAAACTTTTTTTGTTTTAATTTCTTTTTCAATGTTAGCAAAAACCATTTCCAATCTAGGAGCGTTTTCATGTTGAACTTTTCCAAAACTGCCCGCCCCACCGCCGACCACTCTGAAGAAAACGCCCTCATATTCACTGGAAATGTCAGTCCAGGTCATAGTGGGCCACAACTCACCGGGGGCCTTGTCCTTGGGCAGCTGAACGTAGGTGAAGCCAATAGGTATAACTTCCCTTTTCAATTGAGTAACAGATTCTTTTGTTTCAATTAACTGGTTTTTAGTCTCTTCCAAGATGTTAGAAGTCCGCTGTAGGTTGTGCTTTAGCTCAATGACCGCCTCGGTGAGCAGTTTAATGGAAAGCGGCTGTTGCCGTTGACAAATGACCATATTTCGCTTAGCACACGGCTCGTCGGTCCACTTTCCCTTTGGCTCCTCTGCGGTCATTTGCACGCAGTGTCCGGTCAGGTTCTTCGGGTAGCCAGGTGCCCAATTGGCGTAACCTTTAACCGCTGTGTGGTCAGCCCACTGAAACTCCTTAGCCTCACCAATGTACTTGGCGCCAATCCACACGTTATCCACTGCTTTCTTTGCAGTAAAGATGAGGCTGCTTAGGAAGATCTGCTCTTCAGCGTAGTGAATTACCGCCAAAATAGAGTTGTTGGTCTGACAGAGTTTCTCCGCGTCACTATAAGACTGTAATCCGGTAAACAGTTTGTAGCAGTGTTCATCCCTGTACTGTTCCCAATCGCCGCAGGGAGTATCAGCGGAAAAAGTATTTCCTAAAGAAGGAAAAAAGTGAATAAAAACCAGTTTTAGTAATTTGTTGAACAACTCACCAGCTGAAAATAAAAGTAAAATGATACAAAGAAAGTTCATGTTTACAAGTAAAAAGTCGTGTTTTTTATTGTAAATGCAAACAATTTTTCGATATGTTTAGTTTGTACTAGACTAATTTTAATATAACTGACATTTTTACTCTTTAAAATTATCAAATTTGTTGTAGATAATAGTTTTCTAACTAAACAAATAAAGATCACATTGTCTCAAGTGTTTTTAGGAAAGTACAATCTAATCAAACTATTAAAAATCCAGTTTTTTTGGTAGGGCATAAAAATGTTTTAAGCAGTGCGTTTGTACACTTTGATGGCCATATTTTTTGGTCTCACTTCAGCAATGTAGGTGTGTTTGAAATTGATGTACATTGCAGTGCCATCGGTACCTCCTGTAAACAAGCCGTCACTCCAGCCAGTGACTGGAATGCTTACATTATTTGTGTCAGCAAAATGAAGCTCCTTTATTTTGTAATTGTTATAACCAGTGTGAACCATCTCCAGCCGAGGTGCATTCTCCTGCTGAACCGCCCCAAAGTTGTCCGCCCCACCGCCAACCACTCTGAAGAAGACGCCCTCATATTCACTGGAAATGTCAGTCCAGGTCATAGTGGGCCACAGCTCACCGGGAGCTTTGTCCTTGGGCAGCTGAACGTAGGTGAAGCCAATGGGGATGCTTTCTTTTTCCAGTTTTGCCACTTTTTTATTAGTTTGTGCCAGCTCGCTGGTCAACGTTTTTTCCGTTTGCCAAAGTTTACTGGTCAACGTTTTTTCCGTTTCCGCCAGTTTGCCTGAAATCTGCTGCAAAATGTGTTTCAACTCAATGACTGTCTCAGCGAGCAGCCTAAGTGATGGCGGTTGCGTTCGCTGGCAGATGACCAGGTTACGTCTGGCACACGGCTCATCTGTCCATTTGCCCTGATTTAGTTTATCGGCAGACATTTGCACGCAGTAGTCAGTCAGGTTTTGCGGGTAACCGGGCGCCCAGTTGCTGTAGTCTTTGACCGTAGTGTGATCCTCCCACTGAAACAGTCCATTTCCGATGAATTTAGCACCGATCCACAAGTTATCGACTACCTTCTTTTTAGTGAAGAGGAAGTTGGCCAGAAAGTTTTGCTCCTCAGCAAAGTGAATCACCACTAAGGTGCTGTTGTTTGTTTGGCACAGTTTTTCTGCATCGCTGAAAGTGTGAAAACTGTCAAACAGTTTGTAGCAGTGTTCATCTTTGTACTGCTCCCAATCGCCGCAAACTGCTGCATCATCAGCGGTGATGACGTTTACTGCAAAAAACAAAAAAAAATTACACAGCGGTCTAATTAATACGCCTTAATTTACCACTTAAAAACGCAACCAAAAGAAATAAAATGAATGTCATTTTTAATCGCTAAAAATAACTAATGTTTAATGCTGTCAGTTTTTTGAGCTTCTGGGCAAGTGATTGTAACAATTACACCATTTTAAAGTTTCCCTTTGTTATGCTATCAAGTTGATTGCAGATTACTAAAATTTCCTACTAAAACATAGTATGCGTCAAGTGTGTTTAAACGTGTCCAAAGGTGCAAGTTAATCAAAATTGATAAATTGATTTGATTGCTGTATCGTATTATTTTTTACATTTTAAAAATAGTTTTACGCAGTTTGCTTGTACACCTAAATGGCCGTGTTTTTAGAGCACTTTAACAGTGTAACATAGTAATTTTCAAGTTATACAAATAAAGATTGCATGTTTTAAGTGTTTTAAACTGATTAAAAATTTTTATAACAATTTATTTTGAGTTGTTTTGTTTTATTAAAAAAGTTTAAGCAATTCGTTTGTAAACTTTAACAACCATATTTTTTGAACGCACCTCTGATAACTCTGTGTTTTTGTAAAACGTGTTAATGCAATTACCGTTATCTCCGCCACTGCAAATTCCTGCACTCCAACCAGACACTGGAATAGATATATTAATACCGCGGTTAACTGTTTTTTTTGATAAAATCGTCTGTATAACTAGCATAAACAGTTTCCAAACAAGGCAAATTTTCCTGCTGAACCACTCCAAAGCTGCCCGCCCCACCGCCGACCACTCTGAAGAAGACGCCCTCATATTCACTGGAAACATCAGTCCAGGTCATGCCGGGCCACAGCTCACCGGGGGCCTTGTCTTTGGGCAGCTGAACGTAGGTAAAACCAATGGGGACGACCATGGAGCTTTCCTTCTCCAGCCGGGTCTCCTTTCAGTGTTGGTCTCCGCCAAAGTCTTCTCTTCAGCTCGGCCACCGCCTTTGCCAGCAGTTCAGCTGATGAATTGGGGGCGTTCGCTGGCAGGCAGACGGCGAAGTTCTTCTTGGCGCATCGTTCATCCGCCCTCCGACCCCCTCCAGGCCCTCATCGGCGGCCATCTGAACGCAGTGATCGGTGAGGTTCTTCTTCGGGTGACCAGTTGGCGCCCAGTTGGTGTAACTGTCTTCATCTTGCCCGGTAAGCTTGCTCCCATTATCCTCCCACTGATACTGACCATCTGGTCCAACACTGGCCCGATGGGCGCCGCCGATCCACACATATTCTCCACGGTTTTCATTACTGTGAAGATGTAGTTGACTAGGTAGTAGTTTTGCTCCTCCTCCTCCTTGGAGTGAATCACCGCCAAGGTGCTGTTCTCCGTCAGGCAGTGCTGGGTCTTCTCGCGTCACTGTACACGCTCAGTGTGTGGTGAACAGTTTGGTAGCAGATGGTGTGTTCTTCACTGTACTGCTCGCTCACTGTCGCCGCAGGGCGGCTGGCCACCGGCAAAGATGACGTTAATTAGCGATAAAGTCAATCTGGTTAAAATGTGCTTGTTCAAGTTAAAAACCAAAAACTTACTAGTCAAAAACTGAATGAACAAAGTTACAATTTATTTCATTTTTGATTGGGAAAAAAGGCAACTGATGTTTTGCTCCAATGAAATTTTCAAGTTTGTTGACACTGGTTTTTGCTCTGATTTATTATTGAATGAAAGTTATTGTTTTATACTTTGTGTGTTATCAATACTACTAGTTGATTGTAAACTTTTTGCGATTTAAAAAGCATTTTGAAGTGCTTTTGAATTCTAATTTAGTTGAGTTTTAAAAAATATATTTTTTATCAAGTGTGCATTATGTGATAGCATAGAAATCAAAGAAAGTACAACAAACGTGCGAATGCATCAATTTAGTCTGTATATGAAAACAATTTTTCCTTATTGTTTTAGCTGCAAACAATGAATTAGCAGAAAACTAACTGACAAAATTAAGTTGTTTTTTGTAATAGCACGAAAACTTGTTTTTGAAATGTTATGATGCAGAAAATCTTTGAGTTAATTGTTTTCTGATTAATATGTAAGAGAGTAACTAGTATATAATCTAAATTGAACGTTTAAAAACATCAGTTGACATTGTCTGCGTTTTAAAAAAATTCAGTATAACCATCAAGTATAACCTAAACAAAAAACTTGTTTGAAAAAATTTATTAATTTGTTATTCTCAAAAATTGCGCATTTTAAGTTTTAAATTTTAAAATTTTTTTTCAACATTTTATTAAGAATTCAAAAATTGTTTTGTTTGTTGTTTTATAAATTTATTTTTAAAATGTTTTATTTTGTGTTTCCGTTTTTTCTTTTGGCCTGTGTTGCACTTCCATTTTTATTTTTTGCACCTTTTTGTTGTATTTATTAATTTTTTAGTACAAAGTTGAATTTATAATTTTGTTCTGTTCCTTAAGCTAACAAATGATTTACAATATCAAAATGTAAAAAGTTCTGCAATGTACAAAAAATTGTATATTGAAAAGAGCTTTGTAAAACTAAATCTAGATCATTTGTAGCTACTATTTTTATGCAATAGCAGTTTACAAATGACTAGATATGTATTACAAAATTGATGTTGTTTTAAAAATGTAAAACAATTAAACAAAAATTAATTTTTTGTAAACATTTTATCAAATACTTTTTGTTATTTTTTTGTTACAACTTGTAAAGCAATTTTTGTATTTTGTAATTACAAAATTTAAACAATTGCTGTTAATTAAACACACATTTTTATGTAACTTACAATTGCTAAAATGTGCACTGAAAAAACTTTGTATTTTTAACTTTTTAAAATTAAAAGTATTTTAAAATACAATTGCTAAAAATTGCACAAAAACTTTTTAATAAAATGAATTATTGTAATTGAGTGTTGTGCAAATCATTTTTTTCAAAAAATAAACCCGCTTACTCTATTTGAAAAAACTAAAAAACAAACTTTAAAATTAAACCTGATTGGTAACCGTTGGATAAAATTAAAACAAATGTTTTGTTATTTAGTAAAATTATGTTTATTGAGTCAGTTTATCAAAATTGTCACTTAATTGGAACTGCGACTGTTCTGGCCATTCTGCTGATCATCATCATTATCACTATTTTCTTCTGCATTAAAAGTTTGTTGTGTCGTTGATGACTGCTGCTGCTGATGCTGCAAACTTCTTCGTCGAGCACTTTCATTGCCATCCCTTGACTGAGCAGCTGAAGATCGAGAGATTAAGTTTGAGCTGGAACTAGAATTGTCAAATCCTCTTCCTCCTCTTCCTCTTACTCTCTGCGCCACAGAACGCACCGTTGACGATCTTTGATTACCAACTGATCCAAAGCCAACTTGAGAGTCTGTCTGTCTGATGCTGGTTAAATTTTGGTTGTTAGAATGTCTGTTGTGAGAGTGCTGCTGTTCAGTAATTGATGATAGTGATGATGATGATGATGAAGATGGTGAAGCTCTCCACCCTGAAGAAAGTCCACTCGGGTTGACCCAAATCGAGGTGCGCCCGGTGCCTCGGTTGAAGGTCATCCTCACGGTGCGTCGATCCGGTGTGATGGTCAGCTGTTCTGTCTCTGGATCGTAGCTCAACTCCATGATGATGCTGATACTAACTTTTTTTGAAAATGCCTCAAAATAAAAATGAAAAAATGGTAGCGATGTGAAATGAGTTTGCGTGTTTGCTTCTTCTGCTGTTGTTGCTGTTGCTGCTGCTGCTGCAGTCGTGAAGTGTGGCAATGGCGGCAGAATAACGGCCAAAAAAATGTGCGCACAGAAATAAGGAGATTTCGAAAGTCTCAAGAGAATGAGAGAGAGAGAGAGAGAGAGAGAGAGAGAGAGAGAGCAAAACAACTTAGGCACTATTTTTTTTTCTGCTGCAGCCGCTACAACTGCAACCACCTGTTGATCAAAAACTAAACTGCAGTAGAATTCAAATTCTAAAGAATTCTAAATTCTATCAACCAGTTGTTGACAGGCTTTTCCGGTCATGACAACATGTCATCACCACTACTAATTACCAACACAAGCACAAAATCAAACTTTAAAAAATTCAAAAAAAATCTTTTGGTTTGCTGCAACAGATGGCGTCCAACCATCAGCGCCAGAAGAAGGCGCCAGGAAGGAGAGAGAGAGAGCGCGGGAAAAGGAACGCTGGTGCGCTTGTGCACAGCAACAGCAACAGCAGAAGCTCGCTCGCAGTACACATTCACCAAATTCGGTTCAAAACGCACTCAATACGTAATAATCGCACACTCCTCGCACACCGGAAACTTGAGCCCTACCAGAAGATGCTGAAAATCATTGCTCCTGCTATTGTTGCGGTTGCTTCTGATTGTCTGGCAAACTTTCTGGCGA